GGATAAGAAACTAACGCTATGAGAGATCTTCTATCAGCTTTGTTGTGAATTCGATGAGAGATCTTCTATCAGCTATAATGAAGTAACTAACACTTTGACGAACTATGATTTAAGAAGAAAGGACAAGGAGACTTTCTGCGCTAGTACTTCAGGAGAGGACTTGTCGACGAGAGGTAGAAGCTCATATCTGAGAGGTGACAATAGAGGTATGTCAAAGTCAAGAGGCCATCACCAGTTAGTAAAAAACCAATGTATATTCTGCAAGGAGCAGAGACATTGAAAGAGAAACTGTCCAAAGCTTAAGGAGAAGGAGAATGGCAAGAAAAAGGGCCAGAAGGCCAATGAGGTGAACGTTGCGAGAGGCGATGATTCAGATGATTCGAGCTTTTCTCTACTGATTACTCTGAAGGTGAACCATTTGGATGCATCAGATTAAATGCTTGATTTTGGCGCTACTTATCATGTTACTCTTAGGTGAGATTGGTTTGCATCATTTAAGACTCGATGGGGGTGTTGTTTTCATGGAGAAATGATTAATCCTGTGGCATTTATGGGATAGAGGATTCGGATGCACGATAAAATAGTCCATGAATTGAAGGAGGTGAGATTTGTTCCTCAGCTGAAGAAAAATCTTATCTCAGTTGGAGCTTTGGAGGCGAAGGGATTCAATGTGACCTTTAAGGATGCTGTAACAAAGCTTACTAATTGATCTTTGGTGGTGATGAAGGGAGTCCGTAGTTGGAACTTATATTATCTGAAGGGGAGCACCGAGATTGACCAGGTAGTTTCAGCTATTTCAAAGACGGACATGAGCAGACTTTGGTATTACAGGTTAGAGCAAACAAGAGAGAAGTCACTGCAGGTGTTGTGCAAGCAAGGACTATTGAAGGGAGCAAAGAGTGGAAAGGTTGAGTTTTGTGAGCACTATGTACTTGGCAAGATGACGAATGTGAAGTTTGAGATTGTCATTCATAGGACGAGGGGCATCCTGGATTACGTGCACACGGATATTTGGGGTCCTACCAAGACTGCATCACTTGGTGGTCGATATTGGTTTGTCACATTCGTTGATGACTATTCTAGACGTTATTAAGTATACACCATGGTAAAGAAGAGTGAAATCCTAGATATATTTGTGAAGTGGAAGAAGAGGTTGGAACTGCAGACTGGGAGAAAGATCAAGACGTTACGATCCGACAATGGTGGTGAGTATACATCAGACCCCTTTCAGCAGCTATGTCAAGACGAGGGCATAGAGAGATACTTCATAGTTAGTCATACACCATAGCAGAATGGGATGATAGAGAGGTTAAATTGGTCTTTGCTGAAGAAGATCCGATGTTTGTTAGCACATAGTGATAGTGGTTTAGAGAAGATTTTTTAGGCCGAGATACTTTCATATGTGAGTCACCTTATTAATAGGCTGCCTTCATCTGTGATTGAGGGGAAAACCCCTATGGAGATGTGGTCGGGAGAGCCAGCACACGACTATGACTAGCTCAAGATATTTGGGTGTCCTGCATACTATCATGTTAAGACTGATAAGTTAAAACCTCGAGCTAGGAATGCCATATTTATAGGATTCAAGTGTGGTGTCAAGGGATACAAGTTATGGGATCCAGTTGATAGGAAGATTGTGTTGAGTAGAGACGTCATGTTCGATGAGGCTTCTATCTTGAAGCTTCCTAGCTCTCATCAGGAGGAGAGTAACCCGACAGAGGAGATATCACAGGTGGTGGAGATTGATGTAGCTTCACATTGTCCAGATGGTACAGTGTCTATTAGAGTGCCGACTGAGATGATGCTAGGTGAGCATGATGACGAGGAGGAGGATACCGATACAGATGTACAAAATTAGGGACCGACGACTTAGGTTTAGGATTCTATTGCGGTTCGGAGATAGAGGAAAGACATACGGATGTCAGCATGGTATACCGACATAGTAGTTACGTATGCACTTCTGGTGGAGAGTATCGATGAGTTGGTGCCTACTACTTTTAGAGAGGCCGAGCACAGTTCGGAGACTGGTTCGTGGCAGATAGCTATGCAGGAGGAGATGAAGTCTCTTCACAAGAATGATACGTAAGAGTTTATTGAGTTTCCTAAGGGGCGGAAGACGATTAGTTGCAAGTGGGTATACACGAAGAAGAAGGACATTGAAGGCACTCCAGTAAGGTTCAAGGCTAGGTTGGTTGCGAAGGGCTATGCACAGGAGGAATGTATTGATTGTAACGAGGTTTTCTCTCATATGGTGAAGCACTCTTCGATTCGGATATTACTAGCTTTGGTGGCACAATATGGATTGGAGTTATATCAGTTGGATGTGAAGACGTTATTTTTTCATAGTGATCTTGATGAAGAAATATATATGACTTAGCCATTGGGATTTCGAGCTGTAGGGAAGGATAAGTTGGTTTGTAGGTTAAAGAAATCGCTATACAGTTTGAAGCAGTCTCCTCGACAGTGATATAGGTGATTCGATGGATTTATGATCGGTCATACATACACTCGGAGCCAGTTTAATCCTTGCGTGTATTTTTACAAGTTGAAAGGAGGTGTGTATATCTATTTGTTACTTTATATCGATGACATGTTGGTTGCCTTTATTTCCAGGTCTGCTATAGATGAGTTCAAGGCACAGCTTTAAAAGGAGTTTGAGATGAAAGATTTGGGTGAGGCAAAGTGTATTTTGGGGATGGAGATCGGCAGAAACAAAGAGAATGACATAATTTTTTTGATACATGTAGCTTATTTGAAGAAGGTTCTACATCGGTTTAATATTAGCATGGATACGTAACCAATTAGTGTACCTTTGGGAGCCCATTTGAAGCTTTTACCTGACCTTTTACCGAAGACAGTTGAAGATAGAGAGTTGATATCGAAGACTCCATATACGAGCATAGTTGGGAGCTTGATGTACGCGATGGTATGTACGATATCAAATTTGTCACAGACGGTGAGCATGGTTTCGAGATACATGCACTATTCAGGAGTGGGTCATTGGGACGTCGTGAGATGGATTTTGAGGTACATTCGTGGTACCCTCAATTTTGGTTTAGTTTTTGAGCGGGACACTAGAGGTGTGCGGTTATGCATTGGCTATGTTGATTCGGAATATGCTGGGGATTTGGATAAGCGCCGGTCTATGACGGGGTATGTGTTCACTTTGACTCGTGTGCCGGGGTGTTGGAGATGCACCTTACACTCTACGATGGCTTTGTCGACGACGGAGGCAGAGTATATGGCAATTACAGAGGCAGTGAAGGAGGCTATTTGGCTTCGAGGACTTTTGAAGGAACTTGGTATTTCGCAACGGTTTGTCACCATTCATTGTGATAGCATGAATGCTATCTATTTAGCGAAAAATCATGTTTTTCATGCGAGGAAGAAGCACATTGATGTTCGTTATCACTTCGTTCGGGATGTCCTTGAAGATGGCGATGTGGAAATTATGAAGGTCCACACGAAGGATAATCCGGTGGATATGCTCACAAAGGTGGTTCTGAGCAACAAGTTTGATCATTGTCGAAACTTGTTGCACATTAGTGATTGTTGAGGCCGTTGACGGTCATTTGAATGAACTACGAGCGGCTTGATCCCCTTGGAAGAGGGGGTACATAGGCAGCCAATTTGATATAGCCGGTTTGATGTGTTGATACCGACATTTGGAGATTGTTCACATTCTCATTTGGGTTCTCGACTTGTTATGGATTGAGTCCGTTGTCGTAGATTTATTCTACTTCGTACTGGACCCAACAAGTGGGATATTTTTTGGTTGGTATTAGTGTCGACTCAGTTTTCATTCAGAAAACTTCACCGAGATGGAGAATTATAGAAATGATGAAAATATTGGTCAAATTCAGGAAATTTGAAGCGGAAAGGCGTTTGGGTGCTTTCCGGTCGACCACGAGCTTTGGCGCGGTCGACCGCCAAACGTGCACGAGTACAGAAGTTTCTGGAGTTCTGGTCGGTCGACCGCGAGGTTAGGTTCGGTCGACCGCCAAACTCTGTAATGGTTTTCTGGAATTCTGTCGTTCTATCCGGTCGACCGCGAACTTTGGCGCGGTCGACCGCCAGTCGGGTTTAGACATGGGCCTTATTTCTTGTTCTGATTTGGTTTGTGTTTTGATATATATTAAAACACGATTTTAGGGTTTAGTTAATCAGAGATTTGAGATTGTACAGAGCATATTGAGAGGGAGAACTTGTGAGCAAGTTGAGAGATTTGGTTTAGGGTTTATTTGAGTGATTTTGTGAGATTGTAACCCTTTGTACTCTCCTTGATTTAGTGGAATCTTTCCATCATCTCCCCGTGGACGTAGGCAAATTGCCGAATCACATATATCTCTGTGTTTGGTTTGATTTGTCGTATTTTGGATTGGATTGTACTCGTGTTTGGTTTGGTTATCTTCTCCCGTGACTCACGGACTCGTTTGGTTGTTGAGCACGCTTCCGCAAAGACGCACAACAATTATCGTGAATTTTTTAGCCCATTGTCTATTGTTAAAGTTGAAGTGTAATTTTTAACCTTTAGAGCACTGTTCTATCTATTTTTTTGTTCTTGCAAATGATGAATTTAAAATTTATCAGTCTTACATATATAAATCTTTTCTGGCTTTATTATAGAAAATTTATAAAACTTGCTAATTGGTGTACTATTTTGTTAATTGCTTTAAAAATTCACTCTATAAATAGTAGAAAAATTTGTTGATGAAGTTTTTATAAATAGTTATATATAAAAATCATATTATAAATTTGGTGACAAATATAACCGTAACCGGCAACAACTCGCAAGCTTAATACTAGTATCTCGATGTCCAAAACATATGAAACTTAGCTCAAACTAAAATTAAAATACACTTTCTCTCATGAAAACTATGTGCTTAAAAAACCCTAGATAAAACGTGCGAACACTTAAACCTGGCTCTTCCCATTTTACCCTTATAGCCTCTTATATATAGTATATATAAATCCCCTCTCTGAACACCCGAACTCAACGAACAAAGAAGAGAGCAAAGTCACGTGTCTCAATTAACAACCAGTCTCAACTCTTGAGAGAGAGAGAGAGAGAGAGAGAGAGAGAGAGCATGGCTTTTTGTAGAGAAATTATTGGGCCTTCTTCATTAGAGAGATCCTCTCTGCTCCCAAACCCCAATTCCATTTTCTTAAGAAAACAGAGCATGCTCAGTTTCGAGTCCCCTGCTCAGGTTTCAACCAGAAAGAAGAGGGCGGTGAGATCACCGGCGGTGAATCAGCGAGGATGTCATGAAGCTAGTGATCGGTAAACCGGCGGCGAAGTTTAGCGTGAGAGCGGCGGTGACCGTAAGGAGAAAGAGCAAGGAGGATCTGAAAGGAGCCATTGCTAACCAATTGGATGCTATGTCTGATAAACTTGGGAGAAATGTTGTGTTGGAGCTCATTAGTACTGAGATTAATCCGAGTAAGCCTCAATTTCTCATCTGGGTATTTATTATTTTGTCCCAATATCTTTCCCTCTGTAGCTCTTGGCTTGATTTTGGTGAATCTTGATTGCCTATTTGGGATACAATAATTGAGGGGTTAATTAAGAAAGGACAGTGGTCTTTTCTGAAGATTTAGACCATTTTCCTTTCTGGGTTTATATTATAAGAGGTCCTCTCTCTACTAGATTTTCAGCAGCTCAATTTTTTACAAAATACACCATCAAAATATGTTGTTTCTGTGAATTTCTGTGTTTTCTCAGGTCTTTTAATTCTTATATAGTTTTCTCATTCCAATAATCTATTTTTAAGCTCAATTAATAAACAACATGTTTGGCTTTAAGCATACAATTTCTGGCATCTTCCGATAATTTCTGATAAAGACATCTACTTACTGCATTTTCATTGTCAGTGTCATTTATCACCTGTTCAAAGCTTTGTAGTACTTCAAAATTTGTCCGTAAACATTACAGACTCAGTTTCTTCTAATGAATCATAGAAACAAGGAGACCAAAGAGAAGCGGAGAAGGCATGATCAAAGATTGGTACGAGAAGAAGAATCTAAAGATGGAGAGGGTGGTTTACACTGCAGAGTTCATGATCGATTCTAGCTTCGGATTGCCAGGGGCCATTACTGTGATAAATAGGCATCAGAAGGAGTTCTTCTTGGAGAGCATCGTGGTCGAAGGATTTCAAACGGGCACTATTGTGTTCCCCTGTAATTCATGGGTTCAATCCACCAAGGATCTCCCCACCAAGAGAGTTTTCTTCACAAACAAGGTAGCTTTTTTAAGATGAAACAGTGAAGCATATACAATCCAGTGCTTCATTAGAAAGAAATTAACGGAAAAAAAAAACATCTTTAGAATGGAGATATATAAACATTTGTGAGAATTTGCATATATATACTATGTGACTAGCGTCGATCGAAGGATTATTTGGCGTATTCCATCTTGTTTTACTTTAATATGGCTTATAATGTATGGAGGAAACAATTGAATTAAATGCCCAAATCGCATGAACATGTATTGTATAACTGCATGGTTGATGATCGATTTTATGTAGATCAAACTAATTGTTACACAGTTTGTGTCCCCTTTAGCTTCATTGATCATAATAATTTTATGATCATTCTCAAGCGGTAGGAACCTTAGGCGTCCCTTATTCATAATGTTCTCTCAAGCATTTAAATTTCTCCCGTTATATCAGAAGATCAAGGATCTTGCATTAGAGGCAATTGACTAAAAATTACGCAGCCTATCTAAATTATTTATTTGCCTGTACTCCAGCCATATTTGCCATCAGAAACGCCTGCAGGACTAAGAACGCTGCGAGAGCAGGAGCTTCAAGAGCTAAGAGGAGATGGTAAAGGAATCAGAAAGCGCTCTGATAGAATCTACGACTATGCAACTTACAATGACCTGGGAAATCCAGATAAAGGAATGGAGTTTGTGAGACCTACGCTTGGTGGGGAGAAAATCCCATATCCAAGGAGGTGTCGCACTGGTCGTCCTCCTACTGATACTAGTAAGTCTTCTTGTTTTCATTTCGCGAGGTCAGAAATAAATGAAAATTAATATTATGCTATATATCCGTTGTCCTGACATATGAAATCTAACATATATGTCACGCATTTTACCATTATAACTTACATAATGTTGTTGTATTCATGTACACGTGTGTCATGTTGTCTGACTGGATTTGAGTAGGAGAGGAGGACCTGTCAAGATCCGATATTAAAGCAATGAGCTGTCCTGATTGTTACATAAAATAGATGTTTTTATGTGAGAAAGATAATGCAGCCTCAGTCCAGCATGCAGTTTCTAGGAAATATGGACAATTTTGAACTTTGACTGTTGCCCCATGACAAAAGGGTAGTTGGTAGACTTGGTTCATGGATTAATTTTGACCTATGATTGTGATCTTGATCTGAGAGGTTGGAAGATGGAAATCGTCTGTGTTAGTGAGTTGAGGATTTGGTTAACCTTTTAAATTGTCTTATAACCGGAAAAAAAATTCAAATAGTTGTTTATGTGTGAATTATGTCATATTAAGAACAATATTTATCACTGTTCTGGGTGAGTTTGCTCATAATTCGTCAAAAAAAAAATTCGTCAGAATTGAAGGTTAACAAAATCATTAATTATACAATCTAAGTCTTTCATCAAATCATAACCATAATTCACAAACTAACTTAGAATTACATAATAAACCTTCTCATTTCTGATAAACTCTGATACTGCAGACTTACTCTGCGAGAGCCGAATTGAGAAACCGCATCCAATCTACGTGCCAAGGGACGAGGCATTTGAGGAACTAAAACAAGATGCGTTCTTATCGGGAAGGCTAAAAGCGGTGTTGCACAATCTCATTCCTTCTCTCGTTGCCTCTATCTCCGGCGACAACCATGATTTTCTCGGTTTCCATGATATCGATAACCTCTACAAGGAGGGCCTCCTCCTAAAGCTCGGCTTACAGGACCATCTCCTTCATAAAATCCCCATGGTTCGAAAGATTCAGGAGTCGAGTCACGGCTTGCTCAGATATGACACTCCAAGCATTCTCTTGAGTAAGCATCCTACAAAGACTCTTTCGAATATTTTATTAAGGATACATTTGGTAACTTGAGTTAACGTGGTTTAGTGGAACAAAACCTGATTCAACATTAATCTTGGTTTCGTAAATAATCAGGGCTTCAATTTTTTTTTGGTGTGCCAAATATTGACCTTAACTGTGTCAGGATTGTCCCAATGCTAGTTATGGACAAAGAGGGGAAGTTGCGTAATTCAACGTAAACATTAAATCTATCAAGACTCGAGTGAATCTCGAGTCCAATCAAAGAAAAGTCCAACACATTGTTACTTAATTTTTGAGATTAAAGGGGCACTTTAGTAACCTTATATTGGCATGCGCAGAGGACAAGTTTGCTTGGCTACGAGACGATGAGTTCGCGCGGCAGGCGGTGGCGGGAATCAACCCTGTTAGTATAGAACGGGTCAAGGTAATTTTAGTCAAAAAAAAAATCTAGGGGTATTTTCGGCATCTAAAGATACAAGTAAATCCACTTAATCCGCAAAAGTTGACCGAGTGACCGGGCAATTTCCGTCCACAGGTATTTCCACCTGTCAGCAAGCTTGATCCCACGGTCTATGGCCCACCAGAGTCTGGCCTCAAAGAGGAGCACATTGCTGGTCAACTCGATGGAATGACAGTCAAACAGGTAAGTGACCAGTGACCACCCTAATTTGCAGACAAACCCTTCTCCTTTTACTAAATTGCTAATTCTGTCATTGTTCTACTTGTGCAAATAAATTTAGGCTATAGAGGAAGGGAAGCTCTTTATGCTTGACTACCATGACATCTACTTCCCATTCCTCGACCGGATCAACGCAATGGACGGCCGTAAGGCCTATGGAACTCGAACCATCTTCTTCTTGACTCAGCTCGGAACCCTGAAACCAGTCGCCATCGAGCTCAGCCTACCTCCGGCAAAGCCAGGGTTGACTCAATCTAGTCGAGTGCTGACTCCGCCTTGCGATGCAACCAGCAACTGGCTCTGGCAATTGGCCAAGGCCCATGTTTGTTCCAATGATTCCGGAGTACACCAACTTGTCAACCATTGGTAGTACACTATATCCATTTATACAAATTTTATCATACAACACCCTATGTCTGTGATTATTGAACTATTGGTGTCAATTGGAACAGGTTAAGGACTCATGCCATGATGGAGCCGTTTATTCTAGCAGCGCATAGGCAATTAAGTGCTATGCATCCGGTGTACAAACTGCTGGAGCCACACATGAGGTACACATTGGAGATCAATGCGCTGGCGAGGCAGAGCCTCATCAACGCAGAGGGAGTGATCGCTTCTTGCTTTACCCCTGGTCCCTACTGTATGGAGATCAGCGCGGCCTTTTATAAGAACAACTGGCGTTTCGATCTTGAGGGGCTCCCTTCCGATCTCATTCGAAGGCAAGTTTTCAGATGCCTCAGCTCTGACGCTGGTATTGTTATTACGAAATGTAGGGGCTTTTAGCACGATAGATGATCGCGAACGTATTAAATATGACATTTATCATATTCATATTTATTTATTGGTCACATATAATTTTATGACAATAAGAATTTAGATATGGTTCAACATGAAAACTCTATATTCACCAAAATCGAATATGGATATGGATTTGAATGAAAGGAACACTTACATGAAGACTTCTCGGGTATTAGACAGACATATAAAATTTAATATTATATAGATTTTACTATAAAGAAAATGTCTTATATAGATTTTACTATAAAGAAAATGTCTTAAGTAGAACGAAATTTCTCAAATCAGAATCCATTATTAGGGTCTACACCGTAGAAACCTAGAATTAGGTCGCCACATCACCAAAATAAACTTACAAGTCCATTAACCTAAGTTCAAAATAGTTTTGCATATATCAAAATGTTATGTATTCTCGTTATATTTTTTATTTCTTCAGAAAGGACCCTAACAAATCAAATATTATTCACAGGGGCATGGCAGTCGAGGACAGCTCCCAACCCCACGGCCTACGTCTCCTCGTCTCCGACTATCCCTATGCAAACGACGGTCTCCTAATCTCTAATCTGGTCCGCGATCCGAAATTACGTCCAATCCTACGTGGATACCTACTATCCAAACCCAACCAGCATCCAAACCGACACTGAGCTCCAATCCTGGTACGCCGAGTCCATCCACGTGGGTCACGCCGACCACCGCCATGCCTCTTGGTGGCCCCCGCTCACCACTCCGTCCGACCTAGTGCACATCCTCACCACGCTCATCTGGCTCGCTTCAGCCCAACATGCTGCTTTAAATTTCGGGCAGTACCCAATTGGAGGTTATGTCCCAAATCGACCTCCGTTAATGCGAAGGCTCGTACCCGATCCGATAGAAGACCCGGTTGAGTTTGAACTGTTTAGATCCGACCCGCATAAGTTCTTTTTGCTAGCGATGCCTGGGGTCTTACAGGCGACTAAGTTCATGGCAGTGGTGGATACCTTGTCGACCCATTCGCCGGATGAGGAGTACTTAGGAGAGAGGCCGCTGCCGGACACCTGGACAGATGACGAAGTGGCTATGGAAGGATACAGGGAGTATAGGGAGGAGATAGCTAGGATTGAGGAGGAGATACAGAGAAGGAATTCGGATCCAGGTTTGAGGAATCGATGCGGAGCGGGTATGATGCCGTATGAGTTATTGGTGCCGAGTTCGGGTCCTGGGGTAACGGGTAAGGGTGTACCCAATAGTGTGTCGATATAGGCTGCAGATATTTATGGTGGTCTATTTTTGGGCGATGTAGAAGGTAACTGTGTAAAATATAAGTCTATGAAGATTGTGATTACGAGTAACGTTCATCAGTATACATGTTGTTTGTTTAGAATGAACATTGAGTACCCATGAGCATGCAAGCTTGCAATTTTGATGAATACTAAATAGATATAAAGTTTCCCCTCATCAAAGATGATGAAACCTACAGATACTCCAGTTTCAGAAAACTATGTCTAGCCTGTGATTGAAACAAATAAAAACTAACACACATCGGAAAAATGGAAGGTAAAAAAAAAAGTTGTATTTATCAATTTGATTTGAATAATGCATCCTATCCTGTAGCCTTTGTCACATTCTGGAATAAAATGATGAAAGATGCGATAGACGAGATTCAAAGGATTGCTTTTACCAACCCTAAGGTGGAAACATAATAATGAGCTTGCACCACCACAATCTTAAATGATTTACGCACGCATCATAGCAAAAGGAAAGAGGGATGGATAATATCCAGTACAGCACTCCACTCATAGTTCACAAGTCAATTTTTCATGGTCTTTCTTCCCCTAAAATGTAGAGTCGGCATCAAAAATTTTAGTGACCTTAGAGAATAATGAATGTTTCAAAAATCATGAAGGCTAAACAAAATTAACTATATTATAAAAAAGGAAGCTCAACCAAACATATATCATCTTGAACCTCAGTAGCAATGCCCCACTCCACAAGAAATATACACAAAAGCATTCGAGAGTTCAAAAATATACCTGACTTGCGAGGACAAATGAAAACAGTTGAACTTGTAAATGCAAACTGCTTCTTCCTTCAAATTTCTTGAAAGTAGCAGCACTCTCAAATAGCAAACGCACCAGTTCAGAAAGAAACGCTCGCATTCAAACCTGCTGAAGTAGTAAAGTTCGACAAACCCTTAAGACCTGTGAAAATTAATATACACAAAATTCCAGCACGAAGAAGAAGAAGAAGTACGAGAAAAGACTTGAGGATGAGCATGATCATTTAACATTATTTAATGTATTAACTGACCTAATAGTTTGATATTAGGCCTCAATATTGTTAGATACCTGGAAAAGATACCTGGAAAAAAAGCCTTTAAAGGAAAATCCAGATAGGGGCATAGTTATTTTGTTTCGATTAGTGTACTTAAACAGATGTCAGTGGATGCTATCTTCGCATCACACCATTTTTGCTTCGTGAATGAACTTGTATGAGCTCTAATTGCTAGACTGAACAAAATTGAACTTCTTTGTTTCCCATGTTTTCGGATCTCCTGTCCCTTTCCCATTTAAAGCTAGTAATCCAGTTGCTGAATTGCTGAATTCACTGCTAGGTTCTCTCAATTTGCTGGTAATCTCACCAAGTAGTACTCTTTTAAGCTGCAATTAGTTCTTCAAAACTTCTCATCACTCTAAAGTATTTGATATCAGTCTGATTTGCTTCGAATCTGAAACTCAAAAGCTATTCTACTATGGATCTTTCTGAGACTTCCTTTATAAACTCTGATTGCCCCGATGAGGTCCATTTGGATCCACTAACTTCAGGAAGATACTTGCAGGTTGAATTTAAATTGCCAACCGTAACTGCAACTGCCACTAAGATATGATTGTAAGAGACCTTTGATGACTAAATATTTGTATTACAGGCCATGTCTTTTACCTCCAACAGAAGCCCTCCCAAAAATCCTTCGCTTTTGCAATTGAAGCCATCTTGGAATAGTTTTGATTCATTTTCCTGTTGGATCTTCATATCGACCAGATAATCACTTGTAAACTTTGTTTATTTAAATGGTAAACAAATATTAGCCTTCGTTTTCAGCACAATGTAAATTCTTCAGATGAGGAAATTTTCAGCCTCAAGAATTTAAGAAGCATGCTAGCTCCAGTAAACGTTGAAGCATAGTGGTGGTAATATATGGCTCGTAGGGCAAATGTCTAACCTACGAAACTTACACTACTCCATGGAAGCTTAACCTTTGCATTTGATGTGGGAAGTTTACACCTCTGCGCTTCACCTACAGAAGCTTAAACATTAATACAAAGATTTTACTGGCCCCTTGTAAATAATAAGGATCTGAACAAAGTCATCAGTACCACCAATACAGTGGGAACTTCATTTTCATTGCTTGGTATACTTGTATAGTTCATATTGAAGTGTTTCCTACTTCTTCCAGGTAACACCAATTAGAACTGTTACTGAAATCCTCACTCCTATCAGTTTTATACTCTAAATAAGACACAGAGGGGGTTTTAATTGTTATATGTGTCTATGTACATAAGCATATACTTTAAGCTTATATTTACCGTATGCATGCATTTATGATTATTGCTCTATTTATTTGTGTAATGTGAAATGAAAATTCCTAAAGCCTATACTTTTCTCCTAGGAACTTGTGCTCCATTGGGTTAAGGATCAAAATGTTACAAACTAAACCTCTGCCCTCCTATGAATGACCCAGAACGCCTAGTGGACCTGTGTTTTGATAAAATTTCTACAATATTATTGTGTCATCATTACATAATTGTATGCAACTGCTTTTGCACTTGGCAGGCTACTTTACATAAGGTGGAAACTAGAAGTCTACAACATCCTAACCTCTTTGCATGATAGTAGACGCTTATTATCATATTCCCTAAACATAAGGTACAAAGGTGAAATCAAAATTGCAGCTTGATCGTGCGCAACTGATGCAATCCTGCATGACATATTCAGAAGACCATGATTCTTACCACATGCACGCGCACACACGCAAGAAGAAAACACAACAGCGACAATGAAGACAAAGCAAAAGAAAAGGGGACAAAAAACAAAGAAGAAAAAGTCCCCACCCACTATTAAAGTAGGTTAAAATAGTTCAATTAAAACACATGGTAATGCCTTCACTAAGCTTGAAAATCATTTCTAATGGTGACGAAGTCAAGCTAGACTTCAGTTCTGAATCTTCAGAGATCTCAAGATCTACTTAAAATTCATGAACTGCTCAAGTACTGCTGGAGGCTTACCCAATATTGCACCAATATATTATATAGCAAAAAGTGACCAAGATGAACGGGCATCAGGTGTGTACCAGTAAGTCAAAATAAGTACTAGGAAATAAATGCTTGGGATTATACTTTTAAAAGAGGTACTATTTACATGTATCACTTACCTTAAAGATCACAGGGAGCTGAAAAAAATCTGAGGCAACAAGAAGGGGTTATGTGAGGGACCACCTGACTTCATTTTACAGATGAACTTGAAGGGAAACTCGCTGAGATCAATGCATTTTCCCTACCATGAGACTATTAGCAACTATTAGCCTGGCATGGCTCATAGTGGAGCAAAACATTCTACCAAGCCATGTTGCTTGAAATTAAAAAAAAAAAAACTACAA